CAAATATAATATTGTATAATGCGACTAGGTACTAGTCTAATTAATAATTAATACTTAATTAATACTAGTTCGGAATAAAAGTAAGTCAAAAAAGTTCTCTACCAAATTGGCAAGCTGAATTCAGAATTTAACAAGCTAAAATTCAGAATTGGCAAGCTGAATTCAGAATTAAATTGGCAAGCTGAATTCAGAATGTCTAACCTGAAATGGTAAATTAAAAGATTGCTTATCAGAAACGAATATCGTTAGTGGAGCTGCAGGTATTGTGCAAACAAAAAATATTATTATTATCGAGAATAATAATTTAAATAATCGTCTTTCTTCCTAAAATTGCTAAACAATAACTTAAATATTGCAGTGTATATTATGAATTATTAATTTTTACAGTTTTGCATTAAATAATGTATTTTTTGAAACAAAAATTAAAAAATCAACCATAATACAATTCAAACGTGATCAGTATAGTTCAACGTTAATGCACAAAAGTTACGTCAAGAAGTTTCACGTCAAGCAATGACTAACTTGTTCACTTTTAATCGAAATTTTTTGTTTGTTGGAGGCTAATCGTTGAAAACGGTCTTTTTTTGTATTTCGATATGTAATTAAAATTTTTGAATTAAAATAGGCCACCAAGACAAAAGGTAACAAACGACTTATCGTTTCACGGCACCATTCATATATTTTATACCAACTTTCAATTTTACGGTCACATATGACAAACTGACATGGAGCAATACCATATGGTACCTATAAATGATACTGTACAAATTGTACTTTGTAGGGTATTTTTATTATTTTCAAGTATAATTCTTTTAGTAAGCATGTTTATTTGATTATGCAAATAAAATTAGTTATGCACTTTTATAAAATAAAAATGTTAAGTTAAATATGAATAACGTGCTAAAATTATCGGTATCGGTAACAACAATTATAAGTTACTTTAAGTTTTCAAAAAATGCAAATAAATACGTCAAATTTTGAAAAGTATCTATCAGAAAATTCAATTTACCGAAATTGGAAGCAAAAAAAAAGTTGAAACTTACTTCATAAAGAACCTTTTTCACAGCCCATGGAGCATAAATACAAAAATTAATTACATATGCTATGAGAACTAACAAAAAGCACATTTTTCGTGACCTAAAATTATTTAATCAATCAGAATTTAAAAAATTTAATACTTAAAAAACACTTAAAAGCTGCTTGAATGAGAAAGTAAATACCTTCTGCGATCAGTAAGTTTGGACATTAGAAAAATTTGAATTACATCTTAACTTTAGTATTTTTAACTTAGTTAAATTCTCTACCATATTTGTTTTCCAAAATTTTGCTTTAACAGCTCAGTACTAATATTATTTGAATGTGATAGAATGCTATTTTTGTTCGTTTTAAAAAGTTCGAGAAGAGTATAAAAAATTGAATTTAAACTTTAACTTGCATTTCAATTCAAGGATTTAAATTTAACTGTAAATTTAAGTGCAAATTGAGCATATTTTGATAATAAGCTTAGACTTGAAGCTAAAAATTATAATTGGCAAGAAATTTTAATAGATAAAATATGCATATGAGGAAGGTACCTGAGGTAACAGTAATGAAATGGATGGCAAACAGCCATAAACTGGCTCATTGTTAAAAACACTAAAATCCAAACACTCGCACCCATAAATGCATTCGCCTGCAAGTCAGATGAATTTCAAGAAAAAATCATATCCATATTAATATTGTTATTATTACTATTTTTATTCTTATTAATATTATAATAAACAGCAAATTTGCATAAAAATTTAATAATAATACTTTCAAGTATTAATATTTAAAATTCTAAATTTAATATTTAAATGTTAAAATTTTAAAAGCACCCAAACAAGAATGTATAATTAAAATATTCATATTTTAATCTTCCAATTTATAATACTTTATTAATATGAAATATTAATTTTTTCATAATAAATAATTAAAATACTCATATTTAATGTATATTCATATTTTAATTATTTATTCTTATTCGTTTAATAATTCTTTTAGTATTTTCTTTTACCTAAAATTATTTATTATGAAAAAATTAATATTTCATATTAATACAGCATTTTATTAGTAAATATACATAAATGGTAATTATTTAAAACAAACCAAAGGGAAGCCAATATGAGCATAGTAAAGTGCTGATTGGTAAGAGCAGAAACGACAGTCAAGCAACCACAGAATCATAGGTATGACAGAAATAAGAGTTGACTAAAAAGTTTTGCACTGATCAAAAGCAAATATAATAAGTTAAGCTAATAGCTGTTAAGTAAAGCTTTTCAGTTTAAGTTAGAAATTAGTTTTATTTCTAAGTTTCGATACTTTCTAAACTTTAATCTGTACAGTTATAATTAAAATCGAAGTTATTAAAAAACAAAAATATTCATAGATTAAAAATATTTGATAAATCCTTGAAAAAGTTCTGCAATAATTTTTCTAACTTTTAAATAATGAAAATAAATACAGCTAATTATTATTTGTAATAAAAATAAACACTTTTTCATTCTTAAAATCGTCAATGAGACTAAAGAATGAACTTACTCTGACAGACAGACAGAATTCAGTAAAAATTAGTTATTATTAAGATTAAGTAAAAATTATGGAATTAAACTTGCAAGCTAACTATTAAAATTTTAATAATGATTTTACAAAACATGAAAATGAATAAATGAGTAAACTTTGAAGATAATGGAATTAAAATTAGGTATGACAAAAATTAGGCAAAGTATTCTTAAGTAAGTTAGTAAGAAGTTTGCTAAGTCTTATTTGACTGAACTGATCATTCATTTATTTTTGTAAAAAAGACACTTACAAGTTATACCTTTCTGCTTCAAAAATTAATGAAATAACATGATTTCAAAAATTAACACTAAAACAACATTTTAAGACTTGCCAAATCAGTAACACCTAATAACGTGAGGTACGTGTAAATAATAGTAGATCGCCTTAACAATGGATGCGTTAGTGTTGCAACCGTCATTATATCTCCTGAACAAAAACAAACTGTTTGATTAGCTTTACAAAATAATAATTGCTTTTATTTTTAATATATTCTTAAATTTTTTATAACAATTCGTGTTTTTGAAGTATTTTATGCTGTCACGCATAATTTCCAGTATTACTTCAGCTAAGTTTCTAAAAATACCCGGGAAAAAGTTTGATCATGAAAATTAACTAAATATTTGAACTGAAAAAAGTAAAGTTTTCAATTGTTCTGTAATTATTTAATAATCATAGAACCAGTCTTGAATGTGGAAAATAAAAGGATTCATAAGAAGTATTAGCAAATTCAGCTAATTTAATTTGGTGAAATTTAAATAATTTAAACAACAGTAAACAAATTTATTTAATTAGTAAACAAATTTATTTAATTAGTAAACAAATTTATCTAGTAAATGAAACAACAGTAAACAAATTTATCTAATTTATCTACACTTTATTAATAACTTACATTAAAAACGAGTTAGGTAATTAATAATTGCTTTATTTAGATTCAAAAAACGCTACTTTAGAACAAAATTATTTCTTTTTCTCAAAATATCTTTATTAAAGCAAGTTAAAATTATAGACTTAAATTTATAAGCTAACAATTTTGACATAATATTCGAAAATTTACAAGTTAAATAATTATTTATTTTATTATTAGACAAAATGTTAATAATATTTTTAAGAACGAAAAATATTTTATGCAAATTATTTTGTTTAAACAATTTTTTAAATAAATAACTTATTAAAAAGTACTAATAACTACTAATAACTAATAACTAGTTACTAGTAACTACTAACTACCGGTTCTGGTTCTGGTTCTACTGGTTTCTGCTGGGTTTTTTGGTTCTATCAAAACTTACTTCATAATAACTTATTTAACTTGTAAATTTTTAAATTTTATGTCCAATAAAAATTGTTGCTAGTATTTTCTAAACAATTATTTTCAAAGAAAAAAGCTTTTATGAAGTAAATAAACTGACCGATAATACCAAAAGATATAATAATTGGTGTTATATAACCATAAGTAATACGATTGACAAGTGATACTCTAACAGCATCAGAAGTACCATTAGCAAGTATTTTTGCAAAATTTACTGAACTAATAGCATCATAAATGTTGACATCTTCATGGATTAAAAGTGAGCACAAGCTTTCAGCAGCCATTACTTTGAATAATAATTATTGAAATTTGCCCGTACAGAAGTTAAATTTGATCAAATATATCAGTGATGTAATGATAAAATATGCTGTATTAAATGCATTCTGCAGTTAATCATTAATGCTTGATTAACATATAAAATACACGCAAAGTAGAAGTAATACGTAGTAAATAAATAAATAAGTATTGATATATTCAAAAGTATTTCTCGTGATAGCAATAATTACAGCAGTTGTAATAATAATATTTGTAATAATGATGGATAATAATAGCGAAATAACAGTTTATCAGAATTTAATTTGTTTTAGTTAAGAAAATCAGCTAGAATAGAGATGATCTTTCGGTAATAATAACGATAATAATAATAATTCTTATTAATAATAGTTCTTATTATTATTCTTATTTTTAACCTTAAAGCAATCGAACAAATGATAATGAGACATTGTCTTCAGTGCCAAGTTTTAAAGCCTTCCATACTAAGTATTCCGCTACTCTGTAATAATTAATATTTTTCAGTAATTAGTTAGTTCTATATTTTTTGCTACTTTTTTTTTCTAAAACACTTAATGATATAATTTATGAGCTTAATCTGAATTTGTTCGAGCTTAATTCGAATTTGTAGATCAATTCAATCATTCAACAACTAATAAAGTTACATACTAAAAACAGTTACATACTATTATACTAACACCAACCTTTATTCAAAATAATTTAGTATAAGAATTAGTTTCAAGATTTGCATAAACTTATTTGTCATAAAATTTTGTATTTTTATTTTTAAAGTTTTAAATTTTTTTGTATTTTTGAATGAAAGTGTTATTATTTGGTGCTAAAAAATCGTACTCACTTAATTTTTGATTAATATTTTAAAGCTTATCAATTATTATCAAAACAAATTATTTAATAATGCTACTATAATTGAAATGATGCAAAACAAATGTGTGCAAAAAGTTTGCATACATATATTTCAAATTAATTCTATTCAATTCGATATATTACTACTAATCATGCGAAATATAACGCTTAATATAATATATATTTAATTCTCATTTCCAGTTTAAGTATTCAGGTAATGGTTATATTTTACTATTGAAATTCATGTATTGGTATTACTTTTATCTATTTTTATTATTTTTCCTCGCTTTTTACTTACAAATTTTGAATCAAATTATGAAAAAAAATTTTATTTTCTCAAGAATACTGATTTTCCTTCATGGAAAGCACTGAACAACAATTACATACTCATGCCATTTGTCTGAAGCTCGACAAAGAAATGCTTGAGCAGAACCGATGGCTTCTTCGTTACTTAACACATCCCAGAAACCATCAGATGCTACCAGAATAAATTTTAAACTAATTTCGTTGAGATCAACTCGAACAACGTCTGGTTGTGCAGTCAGTACACAAAGTCGTTTCAACGCTGTATCGCCTAATGCTCTGAAATCAAATATATAGAAATTTAATATAAAAATATAGCTAATGATTCATTGAAATTATTCAACTGAATAATAGAATTGACTTAAATTGTATGATTAATTCAGAAGACTCAAGCAGTGCATGATTCAATCTATCTAATCACTATATTCTCAGCTAGCTATTATGCTTGAATGTCATATTATTACTATAACTTTTTTTTTTCAAGTTTTTAATGAATGATAATATTACTTGTATAATGTTATACCGCGCAGCTTTTTGCCTGATCCTTTAGATCAAAAGTAATTTATGCTAATTAGCTGATTTCATTAATTTGAACTGGACAAGAGAACTAAGTAGTCCAAATTATCCATAAAATTTAGATCAGTTCAGCTATTTAATAACTAATAAAGTAACTGTTGATTAAAATAAAAATTCAGCTAACTCATTACAAATTTATAAATTATTAATTAAAAATCAGAGCCTTCTAAATTAATCAAATAACATTTTCGAATCTTTTCCATTATTCTTGAATATGTAATTTCTTTATCCATATAATTCAAATCAGTTCTATTACCCAGTTGAATCATTTAAGTTTGAGGGCAAAATTTTTGAAAAAATATTACAGCATACTTATAGTATAATTGAAGGCTTTAATCTGAATTATATGAATACAGAAAATACATATTCAAGAGTAATAGAAAAATAGTTCATTATAAATTTATGAATTATTAATTAAAAGTCAAAATCAAAGCCTTCAATTGTACAATAAATTTGCAACAATTGTTGCAAAATATAAAGTATAATTGGCAAAAAATCTAATTTATAAAGTAAATTTTTGTTCTAATAAAATATATTATTGAGATTACTATGGATTCAGTTAGGGTTCTGACCACAAAAACTCATCTTATTCCAACTTTGTTCGAAAATTTAAGTTTTAAAATACTGCTAACTAACAAATATATAATGTCAAATATTTCACTGCATATTTCATATTTTTTAAAAGCTTTATTGTTGTATAAATTTTGAATAATAAATATAATAATATTTGAAATGTACATTTTGAATATTTAAATAATAAGCAAAATAAATATTGATAAGTGAATAGTAATAGTATTGAGTAATGAGAATAGCAATATTTGAAATGTATATTTTGAGTATTTGAATAATAAGTGAAATAGATATCTATAAGTAAATAGTAAATGGTGATAGTATATATGTATATTAAGTATAATAAGTATAATAATAATAAGTATAATAGTAAGCAGAATGTCAAATTTTTTTGTCATAAATTTTGAACATTTGCTATACTTTATAGTTTTATAAAATTAAATTGAAATACTGAAAAAACGAGCTATTACTTGGAAGTAAGCATGAAAAATAATTACAAAGTTGTCTTCCATATTCCAAAATGTCATATTATTAGACAGTTTGTGAAGTTGACGGAAAAAAATAAAAGCAATTAAGAAAGCTTTGTGATTACAAGAAGACTTCTAATTACTTTTTATATGATAAATATTATTAAAAAAGTTATTACTTGTAAAGTATTTAATAAAAACATTACGAGAAATAATTCAAAGATGAACACAATTAAGTAATTGTATAATACATTAAGTGCCAAAAATATATTTTGAAAAAATTTTATGTCATTTACACCAAATATTTTTATATAATAAAGCAAAATTTTTTAAAATGCAATAAAAATAAGACGTAAAGTGAAACAAAAATTAATATTCTTATATTGTAATGCACTTTTTTAATAGTTTTATTTTTAAAATGCAATAAAAACGATTGATTACGTCAAAAAATATCATTGCAAAAGGATAAGAGAATTAAGTTTAGATGGAAAGAAGTTTATTTTTAGAAGAAATAATTTAAGGCTTGCAAGACTTTGAATTAAACAGGGATTCTGATGCATTATAGCAGCTGATTCTTTTTTATACATACAAACTTGTACGTGTAAAATTCCACAAATTTAGCCAAATTAAAAAATTAGAGTTTCATTTATTTAATTTCCTCTTAATATTTTTGTAAAATTTTATTACTTTTCACACTTTTGAAAAAATTTTTTGCATTTTTACACTACACGAAAATATTATTTATTAGCAAAAATTGATTCAGTTATTCGTTTTCTGTAGAAATATTCTTCTTATAATCATAATTTTTACTTTTTTTAACAGCAGAAATATCCTTATCATCATAATCAGTATTTTTTAACAGCAGAAATATCCTTATTATTATATATTTAAAGTAATAATGCAAATGATACAATACAAATTATTGCTTACTAATTGTAAGAAAGACAAAAATCGTGATATTGAATTATTAATGTTTGTTTTCATTTTT